ACACAATCGACAGCCCAGACTGCATTCATCATAGTCTGAAGTAGAGAAAAACAAATCAGAATAGGGAAGTCAAGAGTGTGTCAAACCTGTTTGTTTCAATGTTTTGCAATATTGTGGTTCTCTTTATGTGATAAAAAGTAACATTTCATATTCTCTTTATATGACACAGCATTTACATTTCTTTGTTATTGGTTAATCCTGATTGAGAGGTCAAATATCTTTGTATAATGACAGCAAAACTAAATATTTCACTGCTCACCATGACAACAGTGCTATTTGAATGTCATGATACACGTGTTAGTTAACGGCTGGAATACACTACACGACTTTTGCCCCAATTTACAGTCTTAAGTCAATGCTAGTTGCTTAAAGTCAGAGTCAGGCAGTAGATTTTGGGCAGTCGGAGTTGACAGGCTTCACAGAAAACTGCTTAGTGTATGATGAGCACAGACTCAAATTTGTTCATTTCAAGCTATGATTCCGTCCAGTCGTTGGGGATCTAATTTGTCTGATATTTTTGAGCTGATTTTAGAACACATATTGTTTTCATTTGTTGTGCATCTTCTAGCAATGAGGAGCATGTTTCTGCGTGAGTCTGTTGTGTTCATAACAACTTGAATGTCTGGTAGTGTGTGATCCTCAGTTGTTTAGTTTATGAGTGTATGATGTCGGAAGTGTTTTACAATCTGTTCAGATTTTTTAAAATGTGTACTGTATTTCAGCCTTGAACATAAAAGTAACATTTACCGATAAATAATATAATAATAGAATTGAACTGCAGTGTACTAATATGCAGTGTTTACTTCACATGTCAGATCTTTTCTTCTTGGAAGCTTTAAGCTTTATTTCATGTTCATTTTTTGGCAAATATATCCGTCAGCTGGCTATTATCACAAAATAAATCCCTCTAGGGTTTGTTTGACCATAATAACCAGCTGACTGTACATTATCCTTTACATAACGCAGAGGGTGTTTGGTAACACTTTATAATAACTTTCATTAATAAACATTACATAATGCTTAACAGATCATTCGTTAATATATATTCACAGAAATACGAGAATGTGCTTGTTAATATTTACTAATGAATTAAATAAACATTAAATAATGATCTGTTAATCAATCAAGATGGCAAATGACATTAAACTTCAATTCACATATTACCTAATGCACTTCTTTAGATTTACAAAAGTACACATGCAAAAAGGTGTTTGGTATCATTGAGCGATCTGCGTGTTCAACAGAACATTGAACAATATAAGACTGATCCCACTTTATATTAGGTGTCTTTAACTACTACAGCATGTACTCATGTACAAATAATAGTGATTGTTAGGTACAAAATGTACTTATTGTGTTCATGTTCTACTCCAAAACACTTTTGCTGCTACTGAGGTGTGAAAAGGGTAAGGTTAGATACAGGTTTGGTGGTATCGGCAGGTTTAAGGGTTGGTTAAGTGGTCAACGATGTAAAGGAGTCACTTTAATTACTATAAGGGGACATGGTTCAAACGGTTTATATTACATTTATTTGATAAATGAATAAGTATTTTCTTAAAAATGTATTTGCTCTCTCCTGTTGATGTATGATGAATATTGTCTGTTTAAAAATATAGTAAACTGAGTGTTGAGGCAATTAAAAACATGTTTTGCACCCAAATTACAATTATTTGTTGTTGTTATGTCTTAACTAACTTAACTAACTACCCTTTACACAGACGTTATTACACTAGCTAAAACTCCAATGGCCATAAAAGTACTAAATGATTAATAGTAAACGTTTATAAACGTTTAAAATGTATGAATAGTTTCAACTTTAGCTTGGGTACTGTAAAAACATGAACAAATAATTAATAAATGATTAGTAAAGATGTGTAATTAGTGTGAATTCAGGTCATTTGGGACACTTTTTGCAATTGAGATGACTGAGAAAAAGTGTCTTAATATGTACTAAATGATTAGTCAACGTTTAGAAACATCTACAAATAATGAATAGTTTCAACTTTAGATTGGGTAAAAACATGAACAAATAATGAATTAATTATTTGTAATGTCTATAGTTTAACGAGATTTGTTGGGGTTTTATTTACATCAAATAATCTGCTAAACATTATGTACATTTAAGTTTAAACATTAGCATTAACATATTAACTAATGATCTATTAAGCATTATATGTTTTATATTTGTTAATGATTTATTAATGAAGATTTTAATCATTGTAAACCATCTGTCAAAATCATTTGTAGATTTTTTTTTTAAATTGTATGATCATATGAATTTGAAAGTTGAATGACATTTGTAAGCATTTCAGTTTACATTAAATAATGATCTGTTAATCGTTATGTAATGTTTAATAAGTTCATTAGCTAACATTAACAAGCACATTATCTCATATCTCTAGCTTTGTGAATATATATTAACTAATGATCAGTTAATCATTATGTAATGTTTATAAATGATTTATTAATGGAAGTTAATATAGTGTGTTACCAGGTGTTTTAGTTCAAACTGATTTATTTAGTAAGTAATGCAATGCAACCCCTGACAAGGGTTATTTTGGGGTCTCATATCACCCTGAAGGAGTTTACAGGCTGCTTACCAAATATGAAATAGATATGATTATTATTCTTATACTTGTAGAAAGCGCAGAGACAGAATGTAAACACCGCTACACAAGAAACACAGTAATTTCCCACCTTTTATTACCGTATTGTTGAAACAGAAATGTTACATTCGCTTGGAACATTTGGCGTGTTACAAACCAAACGGCTGATAACTCACAGCTTTTTTTTTTTTTTTTGATAACGCACAGCTATTTTTTTATTTGTATTTTTTTCTGATAACGCACAGCTATTTATTTTTTTTTATTTTTTATTTTGATAACGCACAGCTATTTATTTTATTTATTTATTTTTTTGATAATGCACAGCTATTTTTTTTTTTTGATAACGCACAGCTATTTGTTTTTTGTATTGTTTTTTTTTGATAACGCACAGCTATTGGCTCGTTTTGTGACTGAATTATAACGTCACAGCACAACACGACACACTACACAGTGATGTTGGCTACAAACAAAATGTGCGTGCGTAGTAGCGTGGCGTAACAATTACTCAAAAACTGACATGAACGTTTACAAGCTGGGTTTTTCGATTTATGATTATTAATATATCAATTATTATTCCGAAAACTCCAAATACACTGAGGAGCTACACATTTGCCACGCTCATTTCAAAGGCAAAAGCGAGCCGTCACATTCAGCTGGACACAATGCAGCTCTTTGACACCATCTCTGACTGACTGTGGGAGGAAGCTGCAAACATTCGAGCTTATCCGCGAAAACTCCTCCGAAGCCATTCGTCTATGCACACTTTCTACTATGCTGCTGATTTCGGTTAAACCGGGTGATCGTGTGTCGATTGGTTTTCATTGACAAAATGAAGATATGAAGTCAAACCTAGAGCAAGTGCAAAGACGCGCCTAACCACTTTTTGTTCCACGGGAAGTCATGAAGCTACTCACGCCTGTGATTTCAATGCTCGTCTGTGATTCGAGTGCACGGAGTTAAAAGACTGCTGTGTTTCGTATATGACCGAAATGACACTGTAGCGTGTCTAAACACGGCTGTAACGATCATAGGCTCACCTCATCATCGCAGGAGTCTGGATTGCTCGGCAGGCAGACGGCGTCAGCTCAGCTGAGGAGGGATGTGCGCTCGGGGTGTTGACACAGCGGCGCTTTCGTGCTCCGCGCAGATGTCGCGAGATTTCCAAGCGCACGCAAAGTTCTGCTGCTGAACCGTACAGTGATGGGTTTTGTCAGAGTATAGAGTACATTCTCTACCAGACCTCCATAATAAGCTTTCTAAAAAAGTACATTTTATAGAGCAAAAAGTCCTCACGCTGAAAGAATAACGAGGATCACTTAGAAAAATGCCATAATAGTTTTATGCCAGTTTGGAACCGGTATATCACATATTCAAATGACATGTTCTGTTATTAACATACGCAACAATATGTTAATTATAACATCAAATAGAGCTCATGGGACCATTTAAATTAAAAAGTGAAGGAATTTAATTCTCTATTAGCCGATAGACCAGTGGTTCTAAAATATGGGACCAGGACACACTATAGGGGCTCATCAATCTACCAGGGAGGGAGGACTTAAAATTATCTAAAAACCAAACGAGAAAAAAAAAAAGTTGTGTTAAAAATCAAGATGTAAGGTGACATTATTCTTTAGAGATTTATATATATATATATATATATATATATATATATATATATATAAAAAGTTTATGCTTTTACATAAAAAGTGTAGACATGTATCTTTACACAAAAATATGAAATAAATGAAAACATTGCAATCAGATGTTGCATAACTTCTTAACTCAAAAATCATCTATTATGATCTTCAATTAATCAGGGATTTAAATTACGTATTCAGATTATAAACGAATGAATGAAACAACTTGCTCAAGAGAATAAAATGCTAAATATATTTAAATGTAACTGACAATAAATGTTAGTGATCAATAAGGAATCCATAAAAAATGTCAAGCACAACCTGAATGTCGCATAATACTAAATATTTAACATCCATCTATACTTACTTTGGAATTTCCCAAAATCCCCGATTTTTACAAATGCAAAACCTTTATATTATTCCCGTCCAAAATACACTAGATCAGGAGTAGGCAAGTTCGGTCCTAGAGCGCTGCAGTCCTGCAGAGTTCAGCTCCAACCCTGAAAACAAAACTCACCTGCCCATAGCCTTAGTAATCCTGAAGACATTGATTAGCTTGTTCAGGTGTGCTTGATTAGGGTTAGAGCTGAACTCTATGGCTCTCTAGGACCGAACTTGACTACCCCTGCACTAGACCATACACATCTTCATCAGCCAAAGTTAGCACTAGACAGCGCGAGGAAATGATGCATCACAAAAGTTTTGCAACCATATGCATCACGTTCTTTTGCCTTGAGAGAACAACAACAAACGCTTGAATTTCAGTTAAACTTTATTCCCTTGTTGTGCATTTAATATCGGGTAATCTGAATGGAGGAGGATACAGACCACTGTAGTGCCATTTTCGCACACTAGAGTACAAGTTCGCCTTTTGGAAAATCTTAGGAAACAAAATGTTTTCCTTCTGTGAGATGATGTAAAAACAGTTTTTGGCATATTGTGCCATGGTAACACCCTTATGATGAGGTAGATCAACCAAAGGCAAGAACGCTTTACGATCAGATCCACCAAGAGCAGGCCTGAATGATGTTGGCCGGGCGGATTCTCCCAGAGCTGGATGATTCTGTTAAAAAGCAGCAGTCAACAGTGGCACAAAATTCTCCTTCCGCAGTGACCAGTATTAAGTACTGATGATAACAAGGAAAACTCTTATAGGGGATCCTTCAATTTTTTCTCCAATGATAGTCCACACTCCTCCACTAAAAACGGATACTGAAAATAAGAAAATAAAATAATTATGACTGTACCAAAATATTTCAAATAGCCTATCAGAGTCATATTGCTGCACACAGTACCTGCTGTTGGAATTACAGATCTCCAATTGGAATAATTTCTTCATTGATGAAAAACTCAATGGTCTCTTCCTCCCAGTCATCGACATTGCTGTCCAGCTCATCAGTGTCCACTCCTAGAAGAGATCAGAAAATACAGTGATTACTAAAATGGTCCCATACTCAATCTCTAGAATTGGGCTGTCACAATCATTACATTTTTGTTGGCAAAAAAGTCATCACTGTGATTGTCAATTGTGCTAATGTTGTATTATTATTATTATTATACTGCAAGCTAAACGCACTGTCAAATTCACTGAGCAATTAAACAAAATGCACAATTTCCTATTAGACTTTATAAACCAATAACACTTAGGGAATGCCATGAATAAAGTATAACAATTAATACTAAAACAAGAGGCATGATAAAACATGACAACACAGCCCAAAATGTTTGTCAACTAGACTGAATGGCTGCATATCTTTGGTTACAAACTGTTACACTGTCTGTTACCATGTCCCATTTGGTACGGCCACATTTATATTTAGACACTGCTGATGGGAATGTGCAGTTGTGGTTGTCTCATTTTGATGAGGCGACAGATCCTTTTTTTTCACATTTGTGAAATTAGTACATTTCACTGCCATTTCTCTTTTTCAAATCTGAATTTACCATGTCAAAAAGTTATCTGGTTGTTCCATTTCCATTTTTATTTAGTTTAAAATTAAAATATTGCCATAAGTGAAATGTTTCAAAAAGTTAAATCCATGTCTGTCAATTTTGTAACTGCTGCAACTGAATTTCACGCAAATGTTGATTACCTTTTTTCTGCAGAACCAAGAATTTTCAAATATGCCATTTTAAACCTACTGAGAAAGGCCCTACATATGACAGATAATTAGGTCCAATGGTGCAGCAGTTAGCATTTAGCAATGACTGGCTAAAAACACACCACTGCATTAGAGAGAGACATCTAACTGGTATAAATGCTAAATTTATATGAATTTACAGCTGTGTTCCTCAACCCATTAGCCACAACAATATGTGAATGATTAAGGATAATGACTTTACCATTATTTTTCTTCACAATTTCTGCCTGATACAATATTTTAAACCTTGGCATAACTATAAAAATGTATTTTCATACAATGTATAAAAATGCCCATTGTGATAAGACTATTAATTTACAAATCTAGAAATCATCTCGAGGCCCCCTTAGAAGTTTTACTAAGGCCCTCCGGTTGATTTATAGTACTTGGAGCATAAAAGTTCTTAATTTGACCAGCAAAGTGATTACATAACTTTAACATTGCAGTTATGTCAAAAAATCGTGGTTGGATCAATTCATTGCAAACTGATAACACAATTAATGCAACAGGTCTATTCTAGAAAAAGGCATTGAAACTGTGCTTTGCAAAGCAGCCTAAGAGATGTCACTGATGGTCAATAAAACTCATTGTTGAACAGAGCTGCTCTCTGCATTAGTTACCTCCTCTGAGTTCAAGGCGGAGAGGTTTCTGCTCGTTGTACATGTCAATGGTTCTCTCACGGTATTTGCGATAGTCCTCCATCATGGAACGTCTCTTGTCCACCAGTTCCTGCGAAGCACAAAGCACTCATTTAAATTTGAGCACTGACCTTTGATCCACATATATATACTATGTGCATCCTAGGAAAAAAACAACAACACATCAATTTCATACCTTTGATGCCTTGGACTGACTGAGACGATCTTTCTGCTCAAAGATCTTGGAGTATTTCTTCAAGTCCTTCTTAATGAGCTGTGGGTTTCAAAAAGTATAGTGGGATTAGAGTTCACTCTGCTTGACAGAGTAATGAGAGAGACCCTGCATCTGACCCCTTCTCACCTTTATTTGCTCTTGAGTCAGTAGAGAGGGTGGACGGGGCCTCCACAGCAGCTGGCAGAAACGCTCTTTGTTGGTCTTCTGCAGCAGACGGCCCTGGAATGTCCACAGCCAAAAGGCATTGTCCACCTACATTTTAAAAAATTAAATCAATTTATACAAAGGCATGATACGCATTTTCAGTCCACATAAAAGAATAATAAACATTTCCCTGCATCATATCTTCTGAATGAAAACCCAATACTTCTAATTCCAATAATTATATTGGTATTGATCATTGCAGCCAATCACAGATATATCTGTTAAGAGTGTGAACACAATGGCCAATCAGAGGCGTTTAAGAATCCGCTCAAAATGCTAGCGGGAAATGCTGGTATTGTCACATTTTTTTTAAATTCAGTACCGATGTGGGTACTTTTGTCAACACTACTATATAATATTTCCAATAGAATCAGATAAATCACCTTGTGGCTCCACCAGGAGACAGATGTCACAACATATCGTCCAGTGGGGTCCCATTCTACGTCCGAGGCCATGTAATGCTCTGCGATGTTCATCATGGTGCAGTCTGACGTGTCCACAAAAGCAAGAGCTCCATTCATGCTATAGGATGAAACACAGAAAACCATACAAATGAACCACTCTAAAAGAAAGTACAAACAAACACTGCACATTTAATGAGTACAGACCTCCTCAACCCAGCCAACACCAAAAACTGCCCCTGTGGACTCCAGAAGATGCTATTTGCCTGTTGCTTGTCAAACATTTCTGGAACAATAAATGTTTTGGTAACCTTTTAGATCACATAAATGTATAAAAAATATTTGTAAAGAGTGATGCATTCACAATGGGAACACTTACTTATTAAGTCAATTTTGCCATTGTTCTTCACATGGTAGAATGATACATTGATTCTGGGAGATTCACCATGTAGCACAGCAAATTTGCTGCCATTTGGTTCCCAAGCAAAGGCAATGATGCTCTCTATAAGATAGGCAGAGAAATCAGAACCAAGAGAAGGTATTAAAGACAGTAAGAAACAAAAAATGGCAACATAATGTCTCAAGATCCTTCTTACTTTACCTTTCATCTCCACCACATCCACAGGTACCTGCTTCTCTCTCATTCTGAAGATCTCAAAGTTGGTGACAACGCCCTAAGGCAGAAAAGAAATTGAGCAAATCCGTGAAAAGGAAACATTTGAGTTTAGTGTCAAAGCACAGTTTCAAAGCAACTCTCATACCTGTGTTCCTTTGGGTGTCCTGTCCACCTTCACACAGAGATAGTCTCCGTTTTTCTGCCAGTGGAGTTTGCAGTCCACAACATTAAACAGGTTGCGGACTCTGATCTCATTCCTGGATGGAAGCTGCATGAGTGTTACTCTTGCTGGGATGTCCTTATCCTCAGGAACCCAGAATGCAATGATATTATCACCAGGTGACCAAGAGAAATCCCTGCAAACATAAAATTCATTTTACATTGAAATATGTCCAAAAAATGGGATTAGTACTAAGAATGATTTCTGAAGGATCATGTGACACTGAAGACTGGAGTAACGAAGCACATTCATTAAAATTCAAAGAATAACATTATTCTATCATGTTTTTCCATATCAAAGATCGTATTAGTCAGTATTAACATATATAATATGTTGCAAAAGCACTATTATCCATGCATCTATGTCTAATATTCATATCCTTTTTAATAGCAGGCCAAACAGTGTATAATATCAGCTATAAAAAAATTATCAACGACGAAGCATCCATCCCGACTTCCCATAACACACCCAAG